CAGCCTGGAATGTGTGTTCTCTTTTGCGGGGAAGATGTAGCATGTCAGTGATCATAACAGGTCTCTCTGTGGCCATGTTTTATTGTGCTTGGAGAACTACACAAATCCCATGAGAATGACAGATACTGGATGAAAGGTCAAGTAACAGGCAAGAGTTTAGAGAGGATACGTGGCTAATGGCATGGGGGCGGGGAGAGAAACTGTCTTCTCATATGGGGTTGCAGAACTAAAGCCTCTTAAAGCTGAGAGCGTTTGAGAGGTGAACTAACTTGCTAGCAGCCGAAGAGAAGGAAACTGAGCATATTCCATAACACAACAGTGTGCTTGTGCCTTCTGGTTCATAAGAAAGCACAGTGACTTTGGTCCCCCCCCCCCACGGGGCCTGTAAGGCTAAGCTTTTCCATCAGGCCTTTCCCATTTGAGCCTATTTCTGGGGCTTAAGGATGGACCCACTACTATCAGTTGTGAGTTTGCTTTTTTATACTTTGCTATTGTATACTGTTTAACTATATTTATTATTTTTAGAGTCCAGTGGCACCTTTAAGACCAACAAAGGTTTATTCAAGGTATGAGCTTTCATGTGCATACACACTTTTTCAAATACGCTGGAATGTCAGGTTAGAGTTCAAACTTATAGCCAGAGAATGAAAAGCAAATTAACATGCAACATGATGATGATCCTAATATCTGGGAAGTTGCTGAATTACAAGTTATTACAACACTTGGAACAAAAACCTCCACAGGACTCAACAGGGATATTGGTTTCTTATCTCATTACATATGCTGACTCATTCAGTCCTCACATATGTATTCTCAACAAGAAGGACTATAAATCCTCTGTATTTTAATATATTTTAGTGTATTTCTTTTTCAGAATAGTATATTAGAATACTGAATGTATGCAAGGGATATTAGGATGCCGGCTGACATAACAGCATTCACAACATTGTGAATGGAACTTTAAGATACCGTTAAGAGTTGCATTTAAGTATATTCATAAAATTCAATTCCAGTGTTTTTGTGTTGTTTTTCAAAAGCCAGATGGGGCAGGTGGGAGGAGCGTCAGGAGACTGTTCTTTCCCCCCAAAAGATGAGGGGCTGGGGCTGTGTACATTCAACCCCCCAAACATGGGGCCTGGGGCAGGTGGCCCTGTTGCCCACTGGCTAACACCACCCCTGAATAGACATACAAAATGTTCATAAATAAGAAAGCAATTGTACAAGTAGTCTTAAATGACCAAACAGGGTTTGACAGAGCAGGCTTCTTCAGTTGTCTCTATCCACATAAAAGCTCTACTGTTTCATATGTATGCATGTGCGCAGAATCAATACAAAGAAAAATATATATATAAAAAACAAAAACAAAATCAATGTTCCATCGAATTATGTCTTTTCCACCATTCTTTATAGGCCTTTTTGGAAACCATAATATACTATTACAACTAAGTATCAATAAGAAAAATAAATTTATGAGTCCCTTAAAATGCTCACAGTATCTGGTTCCAGACTTAACTGGTTTTGTCTGGCATTCCCTCACTAACTCTTATTAGCCCTTCTCCCTGTTTGTGTTTTATTCGTTTCATTGTTTACATAGTTGAAATATTCGCTGTGTTGGGGACCCTGAGTTCGATGGAAACAGAAGTATTTTAAATGAGTAATGAATTAATAACTGTTAAGGATGCACTGCCACACCACCCACCAGAAAGTCCCCAGTTTAAGTCTGACATGAACTTCCTGTGTGGCCTCCAGCACGCCGTTCTCATACAACCAAGTCCAGTATCTGCCATATGGGCATAACAGCAACAATAAACAACAACTACCATACAGGATGACAAAATGATAATAACACGAAGCACTCAGAATACATGAAAAAGCTATACGGATTCTAAGTATTTAGCTGCAAACCTGTGCTGTGAGATGTATGGAAAACAGAAGCTATCTGTGTCACTTCCCAGCCATGATAACTTAGGGGAGCTCTTCCAGAATAGCGGATCTGAAGGCCAAACTGAATACTACATTCCAATACATCGAACAAAATGCAAAAGTTTAAAAGAAAGGACAGCTTTGGAAGTGAGTAACTGTTATGTACTGTGAATACTTGTATAAGGCCTGAGCTTGAATCTCACTCCTATCTAAGGCTGGTATCGTGAACTGCACAGTCTGATTGGCTACTCTGCACAGTAGGCCAACCAGAGTATAAGAAAGGTTCCAGAGGGAGATGAATTTATTGGTCTTTATGGAAGCATTATGATTGGTTATTATCCTACTAGGGAGCATGGTTATACAAGCCCGGAAAGTTTAAAAGAGAGCCTGTTGCTCTCCTGATTTGTGTTCATTCTTGTCATCTCCCTTATAAATAAAAGCCAAATGGTGGTGGCACTTCTTTAGAACATTCCACACGCTCCAAAATCAGTTCGCTCTCTGATCTGTCATTCAGAGGGTCTCCCTATCCACTGGCTGCTTTGCCTGAGTCCTGCCTCCAACATTCTAAACATTTTGCTGTTCCTCTCCCCCCCATAGCCAGTCAGAACACAGAGGTTATTTGCATATGCAGCCTCATTGGCCTTTGCCTCGGAACACAGAGGTCATTTGCATATGCGACTTGATTGGCTTTTGCCTCTAACATTCTAAACAGTTTGCTGTTCTGAGGTAAAATGTGTCCAATCTCCAGGTGAGGGCTGGAGATCACTCAGAATTACAACTGCTTTCCAGATGGCAGAGATCAGTTCCCCTGGAGAAAATGGTGGGCTCTGTATCCTTATATGCTGCTGAGGTGGCCCCCGTATGACAGCCAATGTGACATAGCAGTCAGGGCTTCAGAGCACGGGAGAGGCTGCAGGTGTGTGGGGGGTAGAAAGCTGAAGAGTGAGGGGGAAATAAAGGTAGGTTGATGATTGGCTGGGAAAGAGATAGGGTTGCCAACTCCAGGTGGGAAATTCCTGGAGATGTGAGGGAAGGAGTCTGGAGAGGGTGAGGTTTCAGGAGGCGTGGGACCTCGGACAGGTACAAAGCCATAGACTCCACCCTCCAAGCCAACTATTCCCTTCTGGGGAACCATCATTGCCAATCTCCAGGTGAGGGCTGGAGATCACTCAACATTACAACTGTTCTTTAGGTAGCAGAGATCAGTTCCTCTGGAGAAAATGGTGGACTCAGTGTCATTATACCCTGCTGAGGTCGCCACAGCAAATTGACACTGAGTGTCCAAGGCTGGGGCACCCGCCCAGAGCCTCTTTCTAGAGGCTGTTGTATTTATTTCCACAACGGGCGTTTTTCCTAGTGTTCTAATAAAGCTGAATCACTTGTTAAGAGCTGCCTGAAGTCTCATACTTAACAGTAACCCTTCATGTACCCACCACTTTTTGACGCATATCTCCCCACCACTACTTTTCCCACCAAAAGGTTTGAAATTAATTTTTACACTCATACAAATGTCTGGGACTTCATGGAATAAAAATGTGCTGTGAGGGTGGGGGAGCTGTTGAGGCAGGGTTGCCAGATCTAGGTTGGGGTAGGGTTGCCGACGGGGGGTTGGGTTGCCAGATCTAGGTTGGGAAACTCCTGGAAATCTGAGGGTGGAGCCCGGGGAGCACAGGAACCTCAGTGGGGTACAATGTCATAGCATCCACTGTCCAACGCATCCCTTTTCTCCTGGGGAACTGATCTCTCTAGTCTGGAAATGAGCTGTCATTCCAGGGGATCCCCAGGTCCCACCTGGAGGCTGGCATCCCTGTGTTGAGATGTTATTTTCACACATCCACCACTTCTCCCCCAATTTTTCCGCTTTATATTGCCCCCCTCCCAAAGCTCCTTTTCATTTTTAAAAAGTGGCCAGATCCAAATTTACCTGCACACGTGTAACATTTTGTTAAGGCCTGCAGCTTTTTATGCTCCTCTTAATGGCATCTAGCATCTTAAACATCTTCACATTCTTTGTTCCAACGTGTTTGAAATACCAGCACCAAAGTT